AAAAGACAAAACATGCCGAGTGAAGATACAGAAGGAGGATTGGCCGACTTTTCCTTGCAAAAATCTTCTGTTGCTTCAGTTGTGTTGGAAAGGAAAGAGGAAGTCAGCCAAACTAAATTATTATCTCCAGGTTACTTAAATCACTTGTAAATGCAAAAAAAAGATTTAAGGTTAAGACACAGAAAAGATAAACAAAAATACATCTAGATACGACAAAGAAGTTCAACTGAAAAGATGTATAAACTATTTTTAAATATTTTCAAGCCAGTATGTGCTAAATGTATGCTTTACAGGGTTGATGAAAGGCTACCCAGCTCCTATCGCCTCCCTGTGGTCAGAATATTCCACTTGCAACTTCAGAGTTCCCGGTCCAGTCTGGGACTTGGGAAAAGTGGTGCAGTCTGGTTCCAGCATGTTTCCTGTATGTTTTGATGATGAACACAGCTGATTTGTTTAATTTAGTGATGAATCACTCCTGTAGACACTAATGAAGGTTGAGGAGATGCTGCAGCAGGTACATTAAGGTGTTAAATGGACGAACACACAGCGAGGAGATAGGTTTTGCTTTCAATCAACACACAGATACTAGGGGGCGATAAAAGCAAGCCAAAGCTGCCTAGTCTCCCTTTAAAAAATAATAATGTCCTTTTAAAGGGCCTGATAAATGAGAAACCATGTAATTCTTGTTTTAAATATGACTGGTCATTTTGAGTTGCATCTGCATCTGAATGTGAATAATTTCTTCTACCCCGATCGCCTGCATTAGCTGCAGAAAGACAACAGACATTAAACAATAAAGTCAGAAAAGGCCAGTCTATTCTATGTTACTGAAACATTTTGCATTCATGGACTTGTCCACTTTGACTTGCAATCGCGAAAGTCTGTGTTGATTTTGCAGCCATGAGAGAGGAGAGCTCTTTTGCTATTTGTGCAGATAAAACACTGAAAGCCACTTTCAAAAGACACACCATAGCACGGTGAGAATATTGTGGCATTCATGTCGCAAGCTTGATAGTAATACTATCACAACAGCAGACTTCTGAATGAAGATCACACCTTCATGCAACAGATGGTGATGTCACGATCACGTGTGGAATGTCCAACGAGCCCCGGCCAGCAGAAATTTTGAAAATGCCAGTAAACATAGTCACATTCATATTTGTAAACAGCACCAGTTGAGATGGCAAACTGGAGAGATGAGGAGATTTATGAGCTTCTAGCCATTTGAGCTGAAGCACAGATCACCAGACAGTTCATGGGCATTGTGATGGACAGAGACATTTTGCAGCTTGCGTGGCTTCAATTGGGATAAAAAACAAGTTATGTCTAAGCTAAAAGGATGTCCATGGCAGCACATCAACAACATGAAGGCTGCCCCCACAACCCCTTTATACCGCCATCACTTTTATCTTCAGTGAAAAACATATGATCGCACCACATTACCGCCACAGGCTGACCACTTATGAGTGACCAAAGGCTCCCTGATGCCGCCTCATCTTTGCTGCAAAGTGGCACTACTGTCTTTTGAAACAGGCTAATGTTGCATTTTTTTACTCAAGAAAGAAGAGAGCACATGGAGGCAGCCAAAGTTTTGCATTGGTATTTCCTAATCGAGACTAGATGTTTGTATATCATGAACATTATTGATGAGGTCCTGCCCTGAGAGGAGGAGTTAAAGTATCTCGAGGTCTTCTTCATCAGTACAATAAACTTGTAGATATAATATGTTGATAAATATGTAGACACATAAACTTGTTTACATTCAGTAAAAGTTAGATTTTTTTTTTGCTTCCATTAGTTGAAAAATATAAGAAAAGCCCCTAGAGAAAATAATCATGAATTAAATCGCAATTGCAATATTGAAGAAAAAAATCGCAACTAGACCACTTTCCAGAATGGTTCAGCCCTAGTCTGCAGTGATGTGGTTGTTGTACTGGTCTGTCGTGTGAAGTGAGAACTGAGCCAGAAGGCGAATCTCTCGATTTACTGGTTGATCTACATTCCTACCCCCATCTATGGTCACAAGCTTTGGGCAGTGATCAAAAGAATGAGAGCGCGGATACAAGATTGAAGTAGGGTGAGAAGCTCGTCATCCGGGAGGGGCTTGAAGTAGATCTGCTTCTCCTCCACATTGAGAATAACCAGTTGAGGTGGCTCGAGCACCTGGTTAGAATACCTCCCTGGTAGGGCTGGGCGATATGACGATTTTAGACCGTTTTACGATCTACACATCTGATGGTCTGTCATTTTTGAGAGACCTTTTTATCACGATTCACAGCTCTGCTGTTGAAATTCTGCCTCTGAATGAAAAGGGAACTTACCTCAGGCGAATGACACGCCTTTGTTTGACCCTTAACCAATCAGAGTGAGTCATAGTAATATATTAGTGCCCTGCTTGTTTTCACCTGTGTGTGAACCAACATGGCTTCGGCCGCGGCTGAGAGCGACAACGAGGTTTTCGTTCCGAAAAGGAACGCCTCATCCATTATATGGAACTGGTTTGGTTTTTCACCAGATGACAAAGAGCAGCGAAACGTCATTTGCAAGGAGAGCGTCAAGGCAAGTGATGGCAACACCACAAACTTGTTTAATCACTTGAAAAGAAGGCATCCCAAACAATAAAATGAGAGCCAGCTGGCAGCTAAAGCTAAAAAGCCTGCGGCTGCAGCGGCTAGTGCTTCTTCCAGGCAGCAAACGCTAACAAACACTCACAAAACTCACTCCTTACGACAGAGACAGCAGACGATGGAACAGCGTGACAGATGCAGTGACGTACCACTTGGTTAAAGATTTGTGTCCCGTGCGAACAGTAGGAACATGATAAAAACATTGGATCCGCGCTACGAGTTTTCCAGCCGCAAGTATTTTTCGAACACCGCCATTCCACGCATGTACGCTGAATGCAAAGTGAGAGTTGCAGAAAATATTCAGAATGCGCAGTTTTTTGCTACCACAAGTGATCTCTGGTCCAGCCGCACATCAGAGCCATATTTGAGCTTAACTATCCATTACATGAGCAACTGGGAGCTACATAGTATTTTGAACAAGTTAATGTTTGCACAATATGTTTGCAATTGACATGTTTGCACTTCAAATATGTTTACGATTTTAATTTATGTTAAGTTACTTGAAAAACGAGAAAAACTGATTTTTGTAATTGTTTCTCTCAGGGCTTTTATCATCTCTGGTGTGAGTTTAAAATATAAGTGTGTTAGCACTGTGTTGATTATCCCTCATATGAATAAATGTTTATTTATTCAATGTTTCTCTTCTTTAATACGCAATTGAAGTTATGCTATTCATGGATTAAAAAATCGTGATAAAATCGAAATCGTGATAAAATATTGGAAAAATCGTGATATTCTATTTTTGCCATATCGCCCAGCCCTACTCCCTGGTGAGATTTTTCAGGCACGTCAAACCAGGAGGAGCCCCAAGGGAAAACCCAAGTCACGCTGGAGGGACCATGTTTTTTGGCTGGGCAGGGAACGCCTTGGGATTCTCCCAGAGGAGCTGGTCCAAGTGGCTGGGGAGAGGGAAGTCTGGGCCTCTCTACTTGGGCTGATGCCCCCACAACTGGATTGGAAAAATTAGTCAATGATACCTTTAAGATTGCATCATCCCATCCAAAATTATCTTTATAGCAGTCCTTTAGCTTCAGAAATGTTTTATTAAATAATGTAAACATCAAGTGTTTAATTTCCAGTGATGTCATCAGAAATAATGCTCTAACTCAAGGACACTGTGCTATGGTTTAAAAAAAAGCAACAACAACCAAATGACACATGAGAGCAGAGTAAAGACTAAAAGCTTCACAGCTGGACAAACTGTAAAACACAAATACATTGCTAAGAGTACTACTGCAAAAAGCTTCTCAGACATACTTTGTGCTTAGTGTTTCATAGCTCATATCTATGCTCTCACTTTCCATATGATCAGTGTCCTCATGCAAATCAAGAGTTCTTGCCTGGATCTACAATGGAAATGGTTCTCTAAAATAAATCTGCATTAAAGCATCATACATATTTCATGGAGTTAAAGTGCAGTAAAAGCAAACAGTTTTGGATAGTGGAGCTCTACAAATATTGCAAGACTGCTGAAAGTAAGAAGAAAACAAGGTACAGCATGACATCATTTAATGGCAATCAGCAATGGGAGTACACAAAAAGAAAATCTGCAACTAATTGTCAATAATGACACTAAAATATGAAGAAATGTAAAAAGATATTAAGGATCATTACAGCCATATGAGAGGTGTGTAGCAGCAGCAGGCAAACATGGATTTGGTTTCAGGTTACCTTCCCAAGTCACAAAGCTCTTAGTCTCCCTCCTTGCTGTTTGGCTACTCTAATGCTGCAGGCTAAGTCCCTCAGCACTGTATAGATGCAGTCCCTTAAGTACTGAACAGTCTCAAAAACGACTAAAATAAAAAAAACATTTATCACACGTAATAACTTGAAGGTAAAAAGACACTCTATCCATATTATTACTGCTGCTCTACGACCCCACTGCTGCATCACATTAAGCTGACTGCAATGAGTTCAGAGTAATAAAGTTTTTAGCTTTTTTTCTTCTGCACTAACAACATTCTACAGTGTAGTGGAAATATTTGAATGAATCGCAGGAAAAGTGAGGAGGCAGCAAATATTTCAACCTTCCCTAATCAGAAAAGCTGGCTGCGTAGTCCGACAAATTTACAATAACCATTAAATTAAGTAAAAGGGTTAAAATGCTAGAAGGCAATATTGATAATTCCATTGAAAAGTCAGAGGGAGTTTGTCAATATTAATTTTCCTGAACCCAAAGGATCATCCCAACTGGTGTGTCATTTATTCACAGGCTCTGAATCACGGTCTCTGAAGCGAAATCGACCCCTATTAGTCCCCCACCACCACCACCAAGCCCTCCCCAGAGCAAATAACCTGTGACCCGTTACAGACAAGTCACACCAGAAAAAAAGATGTCTGTACACCAGAAAAAATAATCTTTAAATTGCTCACCTTTTTTCTTCAAGAAGTTTTTTTTGGTGTCCAGGGGTGTCTGACGTACTTTGGGGTTTTGCAGGAATTTTACAGCAGTGGAAATCTGGCAAAAGACAAAATCTGATTCAATTCCTTCTAATGACATAGATGCACACCTGCAGATGAGATCTGATGGAAACTGATGCTTTTAACAGTATAAACAAGAGTCTAGACCGTCCATAAGAAAAAGGTTCATTATGAATTCACCCTTGCTAAGAAAGAAAAAACACCTAAATGGATTTCATCTAATAGTAGCTTTTACACCCCCAACACACCCAGCAGTGAGGAAAAAGACCACCTGACCACTTTCCTGCTAAATGTGGGGAATGACCAAATCAGCAGTTATAAAATTAGCCCATCAAGAGTGCTGGACAAATGGAGTATGGAGCTTAATTTGCTATTACCCTCTTAAAGACAAACTTCCATTCTTAAGTGCGCAGTGGAAGAAAATCTATACTTAATGCAGAGGTGATCATTTGTATCTAATAACTTGAGAATCCGAGGCAGAAAACTTCTGTAATTCTTCCAGTTAAAAACCTGCCATGATCAAATCACCTCCCCTGACTGTTGTAATGACTTGAAACGTTAATGCACCAGAACGTTAAATAGCATCAGAACATCAGTAGTTTTAAGTGCATGGCGTTCATCGATTCTATTATGTTTTCCTTCGAGATGCGCCTTAATTTTCCACCCAGTATGCATTTCCAAGAATTGGAAGTAGGGGGAAAAAACTTCCTCAAATGACATTAAAACATAAACTTGAAGTGGGCGCCATGAAGTGGCGCCTCCTAAAATAGATAAATATGTAAGAAAGGAGAAACACTGGAGGCGAGGTTTCGATGACTTATTATCGCACCTGTGGTCCCCATGATTCAATTGTAAAAGTCATCCCTCTAATAGCTTGAAAGGTTTTGATTACTCTTCTTTTCTCTTAGTGTTGAAAGATACAAAGTGATTGAGCGCCCTGCCAGTGGTAATTCATTTTGGGTAATGCATTGCATATACTATGTACCAGTTTCATTCCAAAGACTTAAAACTGTCCGAGAGACACACGTGGCATGGAAGCTGCTTAAAAAGCCAGATTGCTACGACAAACACATAGCCCTTATTATTAATATAACATTTTCTTCAGTACTATGAACACACAAAGAATCAAATGCTGAAACAACAGAAGTAGAAAACTGTAAATAATCTAATAAAAGACGTGTGCAGTAAAGTTATCGGAAAGTACCAGATTTGTCCCATGAGATGCTGCAACAATTTATTTAGACACTAATCTAGCATTTCACAGAGACACTGTCGTGACCTTGATGTACACAAGGGTTACACAAGAGGTATGGAATTTCCTGGGTCTTTATATGCTGACGGCTTATTAAAGTCGGTCACCCGGAACCTTCATTGTGACAACCAGATTAACCATTTGCATGGTGAACCACCAACTGATGTTTTCAGCTAAAAGATACACACAAAAAATCTCTTTGATAATGAAACAAAATCAGTCCACTCTTGGGAGTTCTTACTGCTCAAATTTGTAAGTGAGCTAAAGACACAAGTCTTGTGAAACCGAGATAATAAACACACTAAAATCTAATATGCATTCCGGTAAATAAGAAAGAGACGTGGGTTCAGTAAGATAATGACCTACTAGTGAAAGAACATGCTGAATGAGCATTTCTTATTTACATCCTCTTAACATATCAATATTGACAAGAAAATTGTATCAAGTGTTACCAGGCATCAGTATGATACCTTAGCCAGGACCGCAGCTTGCTCAGCGGCAAACTAATGAGGCAAATGTCCATTTGGTTATAACTGTAGTGGTAGATCTTCAGGGAGAGGAAAAGTGCACTTCTTAGCAGATGACATAGATGCTTTGCACAAGTTCCGTCCAGACATCTCAATCAATTATAACCACATTGCACTGATTTCACTCTTGTTATTGACTTATGGATCACCCCAGTTATAGTGTTGGGTAGCACACAACTGGGCTTTTAGGGGGTAAGATGGATAACCGTACAAAGTACTTTTGTGTCAGCAGCCTAGATAACTAAAACAACGTAAAATAAATCAGTCCTTCACTACAGAAACCTAGCGATTTTCCGCTTTTGACCAAACTAAGCTACTTTGTAAAGCTTTTGTAAAGCTTTGACTACTAATGCACCAAAGTGCTCTATGTAAAAAGCAATAATCTTTGCAAACCAGATAACCAATAAAGTGTCAGGTAAAGCTGAAAAAGAGGTGAAAACTCAATCACAGAAAGAGATAACATTAACCAATACACTTAAAGAGAGTGAACTTGATGAACAGACAGGATTACAGAAAATGTTATTGAGTTTGAATTGGACCAGACTTTGCACTGCACATGCCTGAAAATTACAACAGTGATACCTCGAACTGCGAGAAATGAGGAGGAAATCCAATTATGTTCGAACCACACAGATAGATGCCTGAGGAAATCCATGTAACCAGTTGTATATTTTTGCTCTAACTAGTAACAGCACTTAACTATACCATACCGCAAAACCTATGGATAATCTAGAGGAATCCATGATGGACATTCAGGAGTAGGTGATGTGAGGAGGTGGACATTATGATATTTCTATTAGGAAAAAGAAAAAATATATAAAAATTAGCTTGAACTTCCAAAAAATAAGAAAGACTATATTATTAAGGTCCAATCAAACAATAGTTTACTCTGAGAAAGAGTAAGAAAAAAAAAACGAAAAAAGACATTTTAACATTCTTGCATTTAAAATTCAATACCAGTTGAAACATTTAATTGTATTAATAATAGAGATGCACAATACATCGCATATGTATTGTCATCGCAATATCGGCATGCACAAAGAACAGAAAAAAAGCAATGAATGGTCAGCTCAAATATTTGCTACACATAATGCATTTTGTCAATCAAAAAGAAGCATGAAGTTTTTGACAAATCAAATAGAGCTCTTCTCCCATTTGGCCAATCAGGTGGGTTCTTATAGGCTGGGTGCCCACCCCCTAAACAGACGGGACTTAATTTGGATAGTTAGCAAACACCTGAGTTAGCTTCGTTCTACTGATTCTGCTTTATCCAGGATCCACTGATTGCCTTTTCTTATTCATTTTCTTTTTCCCTTTCCTCACAAATTTTGACCATATTTTTTTATTTCCAATATTTTATGATGTTTTTAGTCATTTTCTAATTTCTTTCTTTTTGATTTTCTTGTTCTTGAGTTAAGCATTTGTTTATTTATTGCAAGTCATATCGACATCGTAATATTAATCACCGTTATCGCGCATCGCAGGTTTTAATAATAGTGTGCAGCTCTAATTAATAAACAAAATAATATGACATTTTAAGCAGCGAAACACATTTTTCATCCAGTTTCATGGTAACACAATAAATCCCCGCATAAAAAGACAAATCAAAAATGTGCCATGTTAACTGCTCAGAATCTGACACCAAAAAATGATATCAAGATGTATGAGGCAACTCCACGAGACGAATTTCACAAAGAGATTCAGAGGGCATGAAAGAATAAAAAAATAGTAGCGATGGAGGGCTGAAAGAAAATCATTAGCAAGTATAGGATTTAGTCTCAACATGAATCAATTCATTCCAAATTGCCCTGGCCTGTGCATTTGTGAAGTGCCCCTGATATAATAACACACTGGTGGACACGATCAAAAATTGTGTTAGGTTAGTCTCAGATTTCGCCCCCCTCAAACACATGTTTGGAGGACCAAAGCAGGAGAAAGTGAGACGATAAAAAAATGAAGCTCTATATTAATTTGGCGCTTTCAAGGGTGATTTGCTATTAGGGGCAGCTGTCTTAAATGACTTAACCCAATACCTGTCAGATATCAGAGCCTTGCGAGAAAGGAATTACGTTTTAATGCAATTATTGTATTTCCTTTGGTGGCCTCACAGTTTGGTGTGGCCAACAGTGCTTTTTAATCTTTTTAAAAGAGCAAGTTTAAATGCCCTTCTAATTGTGACATCTTTCCCGCCTTAATGTGACCTTCAGTAGAGGAAGCAAAGCCTCATGGGAGCAGCTATAGGGAATTATTGACCCTAAGAGACATAAGGAAGTGAGGTGCTGACCTGAGCATTTAGCTAACATTCAGTAGCTCAGAGACACCGAGAGCTTCAAGGGCCCTGCGTGAGAAGAACCTTTCTGACAGACTACGTAAAAACCTTCTTTGTATCGTGATTCAGCCTTGTTGTCTCCGTGGTTGGTTTTATTATTTCATAGAAGTAGAGTAAAAACCTCATAACTGGTCAATAACAAAACTCACTTCAAAACTTGGTCAAATCTGATGAAAGAACAGTGAAACGTAAGACAGGGGTCATGGAAAACTTCATTGGCATTTGCAATGCAAAGGTTTTAAAATAACATGCAGCACTGTATCAGTCTCATGGGCAAGGCTACAAACATGACATAAAAAAAAAACATTATGCAATTTTGCAGGGGGGGGGGGGGCTGGTGGACGGAAATCAAGCGTTTTTTTTAAAGACCACTACGTGAGCAGACAACTTTCCATACAGAAGCGTTTTCCTGTCAGCGTTCTTTCATTGCAAACATAAAAAGTCAAAAAGGTCTAGTGGTGAGAAACAATGAAACCTGAGTGCACATGATCTGGCTAAGACAGTCACAGTGAGAAAAGTGTAAAGATAACAAGAAAAAAAAACAATACATTTCACAAGAGACAACTTTTAGTCAATGCAGGTTGTAAAAAACTGTTACAATGATGTAAAATGAATGGGACCTTTAATTGTTCTGTTTACCAAGAGATGCTTTTGTCTCAATTCTTTTGGACTTGAAATCTTACGTTGGCATTTTTCTCAAAGGTAAATCGAAATGTTTGTCGGATTGTGTAGTTACAAATGGAGAAAACGGTAGAATAAAAAAATTTCATAACGCCAACAAATGTTAAAATAACAACGCAACAAAGTGATTATTTTTCTTTGAAGACAAACGTGTCACCCAGCCCGTTCAAAACTGGTTTGACAGATACAAAGCCAACTCTGACATTTTTTATGTGCAACTGTCAGCGGTGCTGCCTGGGGTTGCCCTT